GTCTCTCGTTCCTTTTTCCCTTGACCTAACTGGGCATAGGATCAATTTGTGACCGCTCCGCCGTGTTGACTGCTTCATATTTTCATTAGTTATTTTCCAACTTCAACATGAAAATGAAGTTCGTTGCGATGTTTTGCGGGACAAACTGTGATCGGGAAGATATGGTAGGCTGGACATACCTGCAGCTGTTGTAGTGAGCACTTTGTCGTTAACTTTATAGTCAAGTAAACCATTCTTCCTGAATAGGTTTTTTAGAAAGAGTGGTGCAAATTGCTGCTGCAATACTGTGCTGAGAAATTTTCTCATCCCCACTCCATTTCCTGTAGTCCAAATATGTATCTGCTTGGGTCATTTATTTTCCGTATAGTTGACATTAACCTCTCTACCTGTTCTCTGAAGAGGGACTGTCTACGTGCTCCCACTCGTTCTGTGTCTTTATGCTTTTACCCTGTCTCCCATCTCCAATATCATCATGGCGAGGCTTCGCGAACGAAGATTTGAGAAGGGCTTTACCCACGCTTGATGCAAACGCTATAAATGTGGGTGTATCATTCCAGCTTGCGCAATGAATTTTTCTGGGTGAAGCATAGCATTCGCAGAACTGGCCCCACCCTTTATTTGTAAGGTTCATCTGTTGGGGCTTAGCGAGCTGAGACCATGACAGCGAAGTCCTAAGAACGTAGATTGTTGGAGTATTCTTTTAGATGGGTGGCCTTCCTGAGTTGGAGCTGGAGTTGCTCGTTCCCTAGAATGGTTGCTTAATGGCTAGTGAGTATATCTCACCCGGGGAGAAGTACTTCCGTCTGATCGTTTAGTCAAGATCCATTTGGTATGGAGATCCTGCCGGAGACATATACCACTGCTGAAATAGTTCACAACCTCATTGAAGCACGCAGGTTTCTTCCCTGTGATGAAGGGATGTTCGTGGAGGAGTCTCCAATATCATACTAGCATAATAGGGGCGCGTAAACGTATTCGTAGTACGGGGCCGTGAGTAGTGCTTGACTAGGGCGTCATTGCTTTCTGATAGGGAGGGAGTGAGTACAACGCACGCTCGAGGGATGGGTGGTATAACTATTGCGGGATATGACAGTTGTACTCTGCTTCTCTGCCCTCACCATCTTACGCCCCTCACCATCCTCGATCGTCTCTGAAAGGTTGCTAGAAACGGTAAGATGCAACCTTAGGGTATGAACCTTTCTTTCAGCGTTGTATATATGACCAGACAGGCAAGTCAAAGAGAGCAGAGCGGCCGCTACCTTTATGGTCACCATGACATTAGACTCCTTATCTCCGTGACTCATCCATTCATTGATCGTCGCGGACAAGAGGAGCAAGGACGGACAGACAGAGATCTTTTTCGTCGTCAGCATTGGCAGTGTAGGTCCGACATCAGTAGGGTTGTATTGGTAGTCGGTCAGTGAGGATGGAGGTGGTGTGGGTGCACTGCTTAGTGAGGTGATGAGCGGATGTGGTATCTCAGCTGTGAGATGTGGTGTTGATGTACCGAGTTCGAGTAGAAGGGATGACTTTCAGTTGTGCTGCTGGTTTTTTTCAGGGGCCATTCTCATTGCTGGGTTAGGATTCTTTAATGTTCTGTAAGACATGACGATCATAAATGGATCGGGAAAAAGCTAAATGCGATGATTCTTAGTATTTCTTCTGTATAGGTACGACAATCTTGATATTTCCAAAATACATCATGGCGAACAGTACTGTTTGAGGCCCGTGATTCCCTGTTTTGTAATGATATTGTATCTCGTCAGCATGTTGGGGATGGAATGTAGCACTACTCTTACTAGTTGTAAAGACTAAACTTTCCTTATCGATCGTAGTTTGGTGTTGAAGTTCTCGTTGTCCTGCGAAGTAGACAGGACGGAAGATTTTCAACAATGATTTCGACCAATGCGTAGAAATGCCGTTAAGCAGCAAATGAGTCTCGCATTATTTTGTGATGCTGCTATAGGGAAGGAAATCTTTAACCAATGTTTGTCGTCAGTTGTGTCTGGGAAATATATAGTATTGAGGCAGTAAAGTAGTCGGGAATGGACCGTTTCTTCATGAATATTTGAATCAAACGATTTCAAAAACAATTTCGCGGACACTGTAATCGTACAGAATTTCATCGATAAACACTCTTAATTTGTTAAACGAAATACGTGGAAGGAAGCTTCCCTGATTATTTCTGCTCTTGAAGGGTCACAGGAATTGAGATCAGACCTTTAGGATCTGTTGCAAATTGTCATGGGTCCTTCACATGTCCGAAAGATTGACTACGTCGGTGGGAACTATCCTAGACTTGAGAATTTATGAAATCTTTTGTTTGAATAAATCTGTTGTGGTTTTGGAAAATTTTCGCCATTGTTTTAAATATGCGCTTCATTTTTTAGTCTTTAGTATTCATTGCATCTATTTCAGCTCGATCGTCCCTAGCTTTTCTCGGGCTACAACGCAAACATGGTATATTTTTTCTTTTTTCATACCATTTAAAAGATACATTTTTGCTACGTCCTAAATGATTGGCATATGATACGAAAAACGGAAGTATATTTCTTTATTTACGTGATATTGTGCGGTTTTTGATCCGAAGGTGTTGAAGTATTGTTAAAGCCAAGGTAAGATCCATTCCAAGCATACGTCAATATCAGGCAGACGTGTAGGAATTTGTTGCAGTTGCTGCAGCATTAACAAGGATGGATCAGTTATGCCCAAGTTTTTTTTTTCATTTAGCGCGAGGTGATATCAGTACACGTTGGCCAAGCTGGTGTTCAAATTGGAAATGCCTGCTGGGAGTTATTTTGTTTGGAACATGGGATTCAACCTGATGGACGTATGCCATCTGATAAACAAAGCCAGATTGACGACTCGTTCTCAACATTCTTCTCAGAAACGGGCACTGGTCGTCATGTTCCACGGGCAATTATGGTTGATCTGGAACCGACTGTAGTAGGTGTGTAACAGTTCGTTTACGCTACTAGTATTTTAAGGTGTACTAGTATGTTTAGTGTCTCGTATTTTATCTCTTGATTTTTCATGGATAATTAATTGAAGTTCCCTATGAATGTCCCTATGAATGAAGTGCGAAGTTTAGATGAAATCAGAACCGGAACATACAAACAGCTTTTCCACCCTGAGCAGATGGTCACCGGTAAGGAAGATGCTGCGAACAATTATGCACGAGGGCATTACACAATTGGAAAAGAAGTAATTGATTTGGTACTTGACCGTATCCGACGTTTGGCTGAGAATTGCACTGGTCTTCAGGGTACGATATGTTCTTATGTATTGTTAAGCGTATATGGTAATGTGTTTGAATTTACTTCTCTATTGACTTGGCATTATTTTAGGTTTCCTGATTTTCCACTCCTTCGGTGGTGGAACTGGTTCAGGTTTCACATCACTTTTGATGGAACGTTTATCTGTCGACTACGGCAAAAAAAGCAAGTTAGAATTCTCGATATATCCGGCCCCACAAGTTTCTACCGCTGTCGTAGAACCATACAATTCTATACTTACGACTCATACTACTCTTGAACATTCTGATTGCGCGTTTATGGTTGACAACGAAGCTATCTATGATATTTGCCGTCGCAATTTGGATGTTGAAAGGCCTTCGTATACAAATCTTAACCGGCTCATTTCGCAGGTCTGTAGAAATCTGTCAGATTTGTAGTATAAAGCACATTCAAGTCGAAGTTGTTTGTTTTCTGATACGGTCAAGTTGAAGTTGTTGATTTGGTTGTTGGTCATTTTACAATTTGTGTCTTTCATCGCTTGGCCATATTATGGTTGACAAGGAATGCATCAGCGTTTCAAGAAAAGCATGAGATGTTACCGGAACCATAAAAATATGGTAACCAAAGATCTGGGAGGCGGGGTAAGATTTGTTAATGCATCTCATATACATTCAAAGTCAGTAGATTGATTACAGGTTGTATCGTCAATAACTGCCTCTCTTCGGTTCGATGGTGCCCTGAACGTGGATCTGACAGAATTCCAAACGAATTTGGTTCCTTACCCTCGTATTCATTTCCCTTTGGCCACTTATGCACCTGTTATTTCGGCGGAAAAAGCATATCATGAGTCCCTGTCGGTAGCAGACATCACAAATGCATGCTTTGAGCCAGCTAATCAAATGGTTAAAGTAAGAATATATTTTTCCATTCTCGTTAGCATTAGGGAGGCAGTTGTTATCGGAAGAAATCCCTTGTGGATTTTCATCAAAAAGTGAGTAATATGGTTTTTGTCTCGCACAATTGCTAGATTAATGATTGATCTTGTAACATGTATTCTTAGGAACAATAGATTACAGGGTAAACAGGAAATGAAAAAGGTGGATAAAAGAGCATGGAAGGGTAATTTGCATTACTGGTAAAATGATTTGATGGCGATCTTAATATCGTCTTTAATTGAATGTTGAGTAGTACGTTTCATTCGACTATCATCATACGTAATACTAAATAAAAATTCTATTTATTTTTACAGTCTTAGAATGTGGTGTCAAGGAATTTATAGGACCTAGCTGGTGGTATATGATTTATGCCATCGTGCTTAACGCAGAAAAAAAAAGTGTATTTTGTTTGGGTCTGTGTATGAGGAAGAGAATGAGCGCTATCAGATTCAGCAAGGTTTGGAAACACCAGTGTTTCAGTGCGATCCTCGACATGGGAAATATATGGCAGTATGCCTTCTTTACCGCGGTGATGTTGTACCAAAAGATGTGAATGCCTCCATCGCTAGCATTAAGACGAAGCGTACTATTCAGTTTGTTGACTGGTGTCCAACAGGTTTCAAAGTATGCTTTTGACTTTGTTGATTAAATGTGACCTTAACTGATGTAGAAGTGCATTTTGCTGTTTATGAGAATCCTAGTTGTTGGTTCTTTTAGGTTGGCATAAACTATCAACCACCTACAGTTGTTCCTGGAGGTGATCTGGCGAAAGTGCCTCGCGCTGTATGTATGCTTGCGAATACGACAGCTATTGCGGAAGCGTGGGCAAGGCTTGATAACAAGTTTGATTTGATGTATGCAAAGAGGGCTTTTGTTCACTGGTACGTCGGAGAGGGCATGGAAGAGGGGGAGTTTTCAGAAGCGCGAGAAGATCTGGCAGCCCTCGAAAAGGACTATGAAGAGGTTCGAGCATTATAATTATTTAGTTTTGAGATGAATATATCATTACTGAAAGCATTTTTTGGCAGTTCAGAAATCCTTGTTTTCGTGTTTAAATGCTGCTTTGGTAGTCGTTTTTGGAGGAGTATTTATCTTTGCTTTGGAAAGTATTTCTTTTTGATCCTTTTGAATTCTTATTTCTGCTTTGAAGGTGGGGATTGATTCGTTGGAAGGTGAAGGTGAAGGCGAAGGCGAAGAGTACTGATGTTCAGTTAAAATTGTTTGCAGCAAATCGTGACATATTAATGCTTGTTCCTTTTTTGGTCTTTTGAATTTCATCTCCATACTGAGAATGGTTTTTCCGTCCATTCTTAGGTAGAAATGTCTTCTTATGTGTCTTTTTTTTTACGATAAATGATATTGAAAGTTCACCAGATTGTGCGTGCACTTATCATCTGCAATGTATGGTTTGTGCTAGCTTTCCGTGCACATGCGTTTTTCACCTCACATTCTGAATATTTTGTTGCAACATTTTTAGCTTGTTTTGAAGGTGTGCTCTGGGACAAAACGATTAAACAAGATAGTTGAACCGAAAAGAAGGAGGTCTGATATTATCCATGTGAGTCATAAACGGCATGAAATATTCGATAATTTCATTGGGATCTGTTGTAGAGGGGATTCCGTTGTAGGAGTGAGATTTAAGCGATTGAGGTACAAAACTGGTTTAGTTCTTTGGTTTATTGTTTAGAAGAGAATTGGGATTTATGGCAGTTAAACATGATTCGTTGAAAAGAAATGCGAATTTCCAGTAATGCGGACATATAGAGATACATATAGAGATTATACCTGAGGTTTATGTATACGTTCGTTGTTTATTTCCCGCATTATTGCTTTACAAACGATGGGGTTTAGGATATGATAGAACAGGAGTTTCTCCTTAAATTTTCAGTGGTTGAGGATATCCTTACGTCCAATCAGTCACCGATCACAGGATACGGTGAGGATTTTCATTAGGACGGAGAGGAAAAAGTGAAATACGGTTTTCCTCTGAAGTGCGTCGTACTTCCTCCTTGGTGGTGTGATTCATTAATTACAGACTGGTATAGTCGTTATCTTCGTTACTTATAAAAATGTGGGATTTTTTGATTATGCCGTTGAATGTTTCTTGTTCAGAACGGTTTATCAATTTAGCATGCGCCAAAGATCTTGTCGCTAACTAAAAGCAAAGTTGAATTAGTGTGGGGAGTATTGTGTTGTTTCATGGTGTATTGCTTTTGAGATAGAGACTGATGCATCTTACTATGGAAAATTATAAGCGAGGAGCTCTAAATTGTTCAAAAATTCATTGGGACCTTGACTTTTTTCTGTCCTCCTGTTTTTACATTACGGGAAGTTTTCAAATGGTCTGTCGGAAGTATGTGGTCACAAGTATATGAATATGTGATTTTGGTTGTTGTAAGATCAAAATGTTATCATTAAAGAGAATAAGTCTCCCCGCTGAATTCATCGTATGTTACTTGATACGCTCAGTAATCATCAACTCTGTATCAAACTATTGGGTGGAGAAGTAATCACTTTTAAACTTCTCGAGAGAGGTTTTTAGGGGGCATCAATCTGTTCCAGAAATATAAAGGATTTTAACATGCTTAATGTGAATACTTGAGTTAATCATATACAGAAAACGGAATTGTGGTATCATTTGACGTATTTTTTAGCGAAAAGTTTAAAAAAAACATTGATTTTGCTTGATTCGCAGCTACCATAACCTAGGCCAAATTTATTTAATATTGTCAGTTTTTCAACACACTATGGACAACTAGTTCATTCAGCTACTTTAAAAGTCTGTCATCTATTTTTTGCGTAAGGGACGTTGTAATGATTAGCTGTCATAATGAAAAAAAAGCCGTCGTAATGAGTATTCTCTCCTACATAAGACTACTAAAGTGAGCTTGTTGGAATTCATATTTCATAAACAGATTGATCCTGCTCAAAATCTTTTCTGAAATATGAGATTTTCTTTCCATCCGGTAGTTTGAAGCCTAATACCGAGTTGATTACCGCGTATAATAAGTAACTTATAACACACTCAACGCGTACACTTGTTCTCGTCCATTTCATTCAAGCGCGTTTTCGATGTAAAAAATATGCCTTCTGTTAAATTTTCTATGCAAAATCTTCAGAAATTGGGGAGGAGGTGAGGAATTTGCTTCGAATTTCCACTTATATTCCACGGAAGCCAAATAGAAGGAAATTGCTCACTTCTCATTTTTGCTCGACGTATGTATTATGTCTTTATTTTCTTTGTTGATTATTATAGAAATGACTGACCAAGGGTTACTCTTTCGCCCTTTATTTCCAGTTGTTTTTGTTCTTGTTCAATGAACTGCCTTCAAATGATAAAACGCATGCTGCAAATCCTCCTGTTCATCTGCTTTTAAATTATTCGAGAATGTCAAGGTTTTTTTTGCAGCGCAGCGCAGTAATAGCAACTTGTAGTAGTATGAGTTATAAAACATCGTCACCTCTTCTTTGCTACCATCGTTCAAACTTTCCGATACTACACGCCACATCGAAAAATTTCAAACAATTGAAAGCAAACGACAGGAACCCCATGAACGACAAAAGAAATTATAGTCGGCAAAACTCGCTTATCTTCTGTAGGAAGTCATTAATTAACAACCTTATCACTTGTTGTCTGCTCCTTCGAGATATCTGTTCGCAGGGAACTTTTATATTGCCGCGCGTTTAGGCTGGCATATATTCGTGGAGGAATGAGCACATGTATTTCGATTCAATGCTGACGAACGTGAAGTTGGAGCCGTTTGAGTAGTCGATTCAGAGTGATCATTAACCGAATAGGATATTTGGAGAGTTGTTTAATCTAGGGGTCACTGTTCGGTTTATTGCAAAAATATGTATTTTGGTATATTTTACAGTATAATGTATTTTATATTTTATAATGGAAAAAGCTACGAAGCTCTCCACCAATTTGATAGTAAGTCAATGACAGGAAATCTTGTTTCTAGTCATCGCGTCATTCCCTGCAGAGAACGTCAGTCGCTTTTTCCGGAACACAGTTTGAAAGATAAAAACACATTTGGATACGTTTGGAGTGGAAGATAAAAACACGTTTGGAAGATAAAGTATTTCTATGCATGGAACTCATCCTTCTTAGAAGACAGAGCAGAGAATGAATCAGTTAGAGGTCAATCACTTTCGGGAACTCTGAAAGGACATCTCAGTATGGTAATGTGTAACCGTGAAGAGCTTTATTTATCAACGAAACAAAGCGGAGAAAAGTTGGAGCAGTAATATCTGCTAAAGTTAGAATTAAGGAACAGTACAGTAGGCGAGAGACAACAATATATGGTCGAGGTCAGCTCTCACTCGGCAGGGTCATTTATAAAATGGTGACAGCACTCATTTCCTTGTTGTTTGGATGTTAACCCTGTTCTGCTCATTACTCTTCAGTATTTAAGCTTCTTACCCTCTGCAAAAGTATGAATTGAGTTACATTTATTCATTATTATCTTATTTACGTATTCCAGTTTCGAAGAAATCTATTTCACTACACCGCTTAACTATTTATTGGGCATTTTGGTATTTCATTTCATTAGCATAGAAGATACTTGCTCTCTTCACAGAATGGACCAGGAAGTGTGGCGAAGTCGCAAACACTCAAATGATTTCCAGTACGCTGTCTGATTGGTCACTCGAGCAAGCTATCTTATGAGAAAGGGCAGGATATTGTGGGAGTAAGAAAAACTTCGCTGTCCGCTCATTATTACAAGAAGTTCAGTTCTTTTTGGGGATTTACTCCGATGACTGTCTTCCGGTTTCAGTTACAGCTCATGTCTTCCTGCTGTCTCATCCCTCGCCGGCGTCCGCTTAACATGCAAATATTGATCCAACGTCATTCATACAAAGGTCATGGCGGGAACACCTCCACTCGTCTGTCTTCCCCTTCCTTCCTTCTCTCCCTCCCGTCATATTTTTTGTTACTCTCAGCTTCTGTCTTCTTCTCAGCTTCTACGTTTTCACCGTGCATTTTGTCTTCAATAACAGCATACTAAGCACACCAAGCCATCTCCCGCGTGGTTGTGAAATAGTTTGATAGTTGGGTGTGGAGCGATCTTCCGTTCATCTCACCTGTGATTTGTAAGGTTTCTTATCATTGTTAGTACATTTCAGATTGACTATCATTTTTAACACTTGGTTTCCGAACAAGAGGGAAGCGAGGAACTGCGTTAACAAGAAAATGGCAAACTCGTTTCATTTGAAATTTCGATTTATTTTTTTTTTTAATTTCGGTCACATTCAAACACAAATCAAAAGTAATTTTCTCAACAGTTTGTCTCTTGCAAAGATTACTAGCACAGTTTACACAAATTGTACCGATTGATTACCTTCGGTGTTAGTAGAATAGAATTACATTCTGATCAAGAAAGATGTTCTGAAACACCTCATGTTCATGTGCTGCACGTGTTTGAGAACTCTCACCTCTCACGTCTGTCATCTCAAGTTATGACATCCTTGTCGAGTTCGAAAATTGTGAGGGACTTACTGTACAATATATTGTAACGGTAAGATTTTGGAAACCTACATGCAGCTTGACAATATTATAATTACCTTATGTTGGACAGAAAAGTTAGCGGCCATGAACCATCTCCCGATAATTCAAATAGTTTATCAGTCACAGCTTCCTTTTTCCTTTCCTCTGCTTTAATGTTGAAATATACATTTGTAGTGAGCGTTACTTTCTGAATCATAATTGTTGCGTATGAAAAACTGTAAGTTATGCGATGCTTGAAAATATCTGGGAACATTTCTGCAGTTCTTACGTTATGGCTGGAGGCAAAGGCAAAGCAGGCAAAGATTCTGGCAAATCCAAGGGTAAGGTCATCTCACGAAGTGCGCGTTCTGGCTTGCAGTTTCCTGTTGGACGTATTCATCGCTTCCTAAAGCAGAGGTTTGTTTCTACTGTCGCTTTGTTTTTCTTTAGTTATGGTAACTTCTTATCAATTAGTATTTTTAATCTTTTGGGGTATTTATCGTGGATTTTTTTGCTCTTCTGCTAGTACTTTTTCTTCGGTCCCTCATCGCATTGATTTGTAAAAATTGGGTTGCTATTCTGCAACTGCTTGGTCATATTCTTCACATTATTTCTGGAAATAAATAGAATTGCAGAACCACATCTCACGGACGTGTTGGTGCAACAGCAGCTGTTTACAGTGCGGCCATTCTGGAATATCTAACTGCTGAAGTATTGGAGTTGGCAGGCAATGCTTCCAAAGACTTGAAGGTGAAAAGGATCACACCGAGGCATTTGCATTTGGCGATACGAGGTGATGAGGAATTAGATACGCTAATAAAAGCCACTATTGCTGGTGGAGGTCGGTAACTTTTTTCATATTTATGTTACAATTTTTTTCCCCCATGAAATTGTCACGTCTTCTGATAGAAACAGGAGGAAAAAGTGAATTAGGAGAGGAAATAGCGAAATTTTCTGAAATTTAGTACTACTTTAATCGGTTTAAATAATTCCGTGTATTATGTTATTCGTTGTTTACAACGTCCACTTATTTTAGGTGTGATTCCACATATTCATCGTTACCTAATGAGCAAGAAAGGACAACCTACTCCAGCTCAAAAGCAGGGCCCAGCCTGAACTAACCAGTCTCTGATATACTCGGCCATTTATGGTTCTTTAAAGTCATTTTTACATTTTGCTTTAAAGTTGTCAGTTACGCTGATTGTATTGTATTCCAAGTATTTTATTTTAATTACGTTTTTTCCCAAATTTTTTAATTTGCACTCATATCAGTGTGACATTTTTATCACATCGCTCAAATAATCGCGATATCAGTGTTTCTCTTTCTCGTAAACATTTCATCACATGTAACAGAGACTTTATAGCTTACAAGAATGTAATCAAATAATAGTGTAATGTAAAAAATTTGAAACAGACACTGAATTATTTCAACTGTAGTAGTTGTATTTGACATTTTCTGTCACCAGTTCGTATTATTCTATGATTTGATCGATGTTAGTGTATCTGCTTTTTTTAATTCTTTTGAAAGTTCGGATTTTAATGCGCAGAAGTTTCAGATCTCTTCTTTGTCATTTTACTTCGTGGATTCCGAAAAGTTCCTTATCGTAAATCTGGAAGTGAAGTTTGAGATTATTGATTTTATGTTCGCATTTGTACTATTTCAATGTCATCCTCACAAGATGACACGAGTGCTCAGTTATATTTTTAATGTGGATTCACGAAGTCAAACGTTCGTACTGGCATAAGGGGTTCGTGATACAGGTTGCAGGTTTTTGAACTCCAGAGGTCAACAGAGCCGAGGCTTATACGAGGAAGGATTTTTCATGCACGATTGATTTTTTCCCAGATGCACCAGAAAAAATTGTGACAGTTGGATGGGTTAGCCTGTAGTTCTCCATTCAAGCATGGTTGTAATGTTGTGAGTGTTGTTTGTTGTCGCTTTTGCTGTTCATATTAAAATGATATTGCCGATGCCATTACTAGTGAATGATACGTAGCCTGAATTTAATTAGGAAACTTGGCCTGTTAGGAATTAGAGAGATGGGTATTTCTGTCATGCATAGGATGTTTTTCATATTATCATTAGGACTTCACCAAATAACCTGGCTTCTGGTAATGCAGCAATCACTGACTTGAGCTTGGACGTAGTCGAGTCGATCTTAACGTCCGGTATATTCTCAGCTTATTCGGACCATCCAGAATATCATTGGTCTGTGTTGCCGAGCTTTTGCCATTGTCGTTAAATTTCTTGGTAGCTTCCGTTACATTATGGTAAGGAGGAACGGGTCTTCTGCAAACTTCTAATGTTTTCTTCCTAAAACCCTTTGTTTTATCGACCGAAGAATAAAGAAATGCTATGATATGATGACCGAGTTTTGGAATGGAAGAGGAGAACTATACGAAAATGAAGGATGTTTTCAAAACATCGCTGGGTTCAGCTGATCCTAAGCATTCACTGTTTTAAAAAGCTAAAGCCTAAAAACAAAGCAATTAAGTTAGCAGACCAAGTGACGTGAAACTGTTTTTCAAGTAGTAAGCATGGTGTCATTCACTTAAGAGTTGGATTTGTTTCTATAAGCTTGTAACTGTGAGACGTTATTGCTTCGCGGAACTCGATGGACCCATTAGAGTTGCTGCTCATGGCAATTTAGAAATTGATATGGATTTTATTCGATTGGTAATGTGAAGAAGGTGTTTCAGGAATCCATTATATTTAATTAATTCTTCTGGGGTTTGAATGAGATAAAGAAAGCAGTGTGATGAAACATATGAGGCGAGGTTTAGCTGAGGTGTCAGGTATCTATTATCTATTCACTGATAGCATGTTTGGAAACAGTATCTGCGTCTGCAGTCATGCAGATCAACCAATGGTTAAAATATGGATGTGTCTGTGTATGTGTCTGCCTGTCAATGTGCTTTGGACTGTTTTATGGGTATCTATCATGATGTGGATGCAATCTGCTTCAGCTTATTTTATTTCCTTTAAGCATCCAATGTAGCCAGTAAACTTCGCGGTTTATTGAAATTGCACATTTAATCAGCTGCAGAGCATTCCAGCAACTTTCTGCTTGATGGGACTAAATGATGATAAAATTCTTTTATATCAGTTGGCTTGCTTTAAATCACGGGGTCATCTGTCTCATAGCTTTTCCAGTTTATGCGCTTCAGTATTCACTTCTACTAAGCAACCGAAAAGGTGATGCGAGCGAAGCGAACGGAAAGAACAATTTTGCTCAGCCTCGTTATCGTCGTGCAAGACATTATAACCACAAAACCAACTGAAAAAATTCTCCAGCCTTTCGGATTTTTTAATCTCTAACTTTCACTTCACTTCCATTTGCTTCTTGTTTCCTCCCTCAGATTTTATTTCCCCACTTCTTGTCTTTAGTTTTTTAGTTCAAACAACTTTGAGGGGAAACCTCCCTGTCTTCTCATTTTATCGTTGACTTTTCTCATTTTTGTTCAAATCACGTTCACCTAATCTAGTTTTCCTTAAGCTGTATTTTAGGAAAGCCTCACCTGAAATATTGCGTAATTGTTTTCCTTTTTCTGTGCCATTGTCATCTTTTTGAAATTCCATTTCCGTCAAAAATGCTATATTCAGTTCAATTCGCATCGTCCAAAATTTTGTTCACCTAATGGAATCTTTACAAATGAATTATGAAAGCCGGGGTTCCCAATTTTTTAGTTCGTGTGTTTCCATCGTGTTCGCAGTGAAAATATAATATTTGCCCACTTGTGAAAGATGTTAATATGGATATTAGATGTAGTATATGTCATTAGAGGAGTTTCAGCATAAAATTTGGTGTCATGTGGCGAAGTAAGAGAATGCATCATACGCAACAATTTTTATTCCCAAAAATCGATATGTAAGATAATGAAGGACGCAATATTGCTGGGATTCTGGATATTGTTCCTTTGTTTTGTGCCCCTGTCATGGTTTTTGCAGAATCAGTTACCAGCTCTGGCAAAAGAATTTTAATAAAGCTTTCAAAGAGAAATTACGATTCCCTTTTAAAACTAATCTAAACATAGTATAAACAAAGGCTACTCTCGTGGGGGAATTAGTTTCATTTGCTGTAGAAGGACTGATTGGTGCTCGTTCTCATTCGTTTTTTAAACTACTTGCATACATACGTTCCAAATGAATGTCGTTAACCCATCCCTGCAACTTTGCAACATACTTCCCACGAATTCGTCAACATCTCTCCGCGATAAACCAATCTTCTACTTTTTTTCCTAGCCAAAGTGCGATTAATATAAGAGAAAAGAATTTTTCTGATTCGTCCATACTAACACTCAATTTCTTTCAATTTAATAATTTATATAAGCACTGTTAAATACATACCATTATAAAGCTTACTTGGTATTAAGTATAACAAAGCATATAGTGATGAGTTTTTTCAAATCCAAAAACAGTTGTTATCTAGCTAAACCTAATAATTTCAATAAAATAAGTGATTTTCAAAAGAAGTAGTTGCCAATAGGTGTTATCTGTTTTTATGCATGATGCATTAATGTTTTTCAATGACCTAATGAAATATGGAAAAAATAATCTGAGGAAATATCCGCCATACTGAAATAAATAATTCATGTTCATTAGATAAGTGCTAATCATGCTTCTCCGAAAATGAATCAGCCCCTGAAAATAGGCCCTAGTGACGTTTTCAGGGAAGAGCTTAATATAAAGCCTCCCCTCTGAAAATAAGACCTAGTTCGGCCTTGCCACAACCACAGAGAGCACCAGTGTCGGCGCTCCCTGCAGCGCCACCAAGCCCTGGATGAGGTCTCGGGACTGCCATCATTTGTGCTGGTCATTTCTCGGCCTCGCCGCTCACCACCGCGGTGGAGAGCGCCGGCTGACGCGCTGAGCCTCCAGACGTTTTTCCTCGAGAATAAGACGTCCTTTAAAAATAAGCTCTAGCACTTTTTTTTTTTGGGGGGGGGGGGAGGAGGGGGAAATAATATAAGACCTGTCCTATTTTCGAGAAAACACGGTAGGATTTTGCGCTGACAATTGTACCGCATTGCAATTCATAAATAAATTATATAAGGTTGGATAAGATACCAATGAAATCAAGTCCTTATGACAAAGTGATCATCGACTCAGAGATCAAAGGACAGCATACACATACCTATGCGCCACAATGTAATTTGTTCGAAGACAGCGGGTATGGCATTTACGTATGCAAACACACACGCACGCACACACACGTACACACACATACACACACACACTGGAACAAGAAAAAAAACCCAGGGAAAGGAGGGATTAGGATAAAATAGTACAACTTTGATTTCGAATGAACACAATAACAAAAGAAGATCATGAAGTCCAGTTACATACCCATGTAAAAGTTACATAGCCACGACGGGTACAAGTTTGACGGAAGTCATAAGCAGCAAATGATATGAGATACCTCTCAAATTGCCTTCTTTGTTTTCTCTGAAGCATGTGAAATAGTATTACAAAATGATTAGGAGGGTCGCACTCAGCAAGAAATATTGCTCATTGGATTGTAGCAGTTGATGAGAGTGATGCGATATAGCACGAATCTCTCAACAGCGTTCCTTTGTAATTAGTAGGATTTAGCACCGCACTGTGGCCAAGGGGAGGTATTGGTGTGGAACTTTGCTTATTTTGACGAACAATTTCTTGACGTGAAATATTCTATTCTGAATAACCAGCATCGTAATGTAGTTTTTGATAATGCAAATTGAACCCGTAAATTATTATTCCTTTGTTGTTTTGGTTGCTTACTTTTCTATATCACATACTTTTCTGTCTGCTCTTCCATTGCTTATCCTTTGAAATCTCATCCTCATTTCTTCTAAAGATTATATTTTCATTCCGTCGCTTATGACTTTCATCATCTTTAAACTTGTAGCCTTCTGAGGCCTTCGATATGGGTACCAAACTGTACTTTATGAGAGGAGATTTACAAAGGGTTTGACTTCGTGTCAGATATGACCTAATCTCGTAGCTGCTCCATGAAGTACTGCTGTTTTAATAGCTTTATTGCGTGGGTTATTCAGATATCCACTGCAGTTTTGTCTCGCACTGGTGGCAGCTGAGTATCAAATTCCAACTGATAAAAAGTGCCGGCACCTAAATCATTCACTGCAATTTATGCACTGGTGAGACTGCGACAATTATTTAAATTAACGAAGGTTCTGCTTAGCTAAACTAATTGGTCTTAACCAGCTTGGCTGACTACACTTGCAACTTCTTTTTCGTTAGGTTGAAGAACTTAAGCGAATTAAAATGGTTCACCATGTATTTTTTAATAATTATTGTACGTGGCTTTTTTGAATGGACGATTACTGTTCCAGTTATTATCTGGAATGTTTTGGAAAGAATTACGATATCTTATAGGTCCACATTTCAGATGTGCCGCTTTTCGAAAGCCTACATCATTTAAAGGCATCTTTCTAAGATTTTATGGAAGCTAGATTATTGGGTGCTTCCGGTCGTTTGGTAAAGCGCATCTTCATGTTCTCTTCGGGGTCATTGAAAGGAACTAACAATGTTTATTGTTAAGCTGACCCGTCGATGGTTAGAGTGTTTGTAGTTCTAAGGTTAAATAGTTAATATTAGGAATAAGAATGTTGCTTAGCTAATGGTATTACTATGTTGGTTAAACCATATTTAGAACGAGACTTACATCGCTTGCTGAATGGGTATTGTCTGTTCGTTAGTCATGCCTTTCAGTGTGAATTCAGTCTTTTCCTCCCCATAATTTCTCCGAGATTTCTTGCATAACTGATTCGTCATTATTCCACGGATAAGGTTGAACTATGTGTTATTGAGGTTTCATTGTAGCTTCGTTCTCTAACTCATTTTTCTCCTTTGAGGAACCATCAAACTCTATATGATAATAGCTGGATTCTTTGTCAACTCTTCGTAGTTGTTTAAACATCTCGTTTCTATCAAGTAAACTTCATATTTTGATTTATATCTAAAATCTGCTCCTGCAGCCTTTTAAATATGCATTTTTTAACTGGTAAACATCTTATATATTTTACGTTTGTTGATGCGAACTTTTGCAGGTATGACAGAAGTGCTTCTTGGACACGATTTAGTAAGGTCTCCACTCGACTCGAAAAAGGTGTCGGAGAACTCACTGAAGAATGGAGCACCACGTTCTGAATTCTTTTTGATGACTGGTGACAAAATGATCAGTTTAAACCATAAAATATCTCCTCGATATGCCGAGGTTATTTATTAATGTGCAAGACTACCTCAGAACTTTTGTAAAGATTTGTTATAAAGCTTATATTAATTAGTTGTAGATATGCATATTTCATCCATACAGTTCTTATCTCCTCATTTTCATTTCAGAACCGCAAAAATTATGAATTAGAACTTGAAACAACATTATTTTAAACTTTTTCGTGTCACATAGCAGGTCGTTCCCAGTGTCCTCGCTTTCTTCGAATTAAGTTCAAACTAGAACTTATTTACAGATGCACTGCGAGCAGCTGCCGCCAACAACGGAAAAAGTAAACTTACCCGCACCTAGAAAACCGTTTGACGATTTTCCTTCAGCAATGCAAGAAAAATCAAGAAATAGGAGATTTAATCCAGAATCTGCGGTGCCTGCATCACAATCTGAAAATGGACTTCATGAAAAAGAATGTCTCCAGGTTTCATTTTGATATTGCTCTTTCTGTTTGAATAAACATTACAACCAAAAATCATTAAAAAGCAAAAAGGCTAAAGGAAGAGCAGGATGTGTTCATTTTATCACTCTGCAGTATTGATAGTGGAAGAAACTCTGCATTATTGGCAGTAGAAGAAAGAAGAAGCCATTCTATTTTCTGTTTCAGGATATCGATATTGAGGAGGAGAATTCATCAGTGACGATAAACATAGATAGGAACAACTTAAGTTGTACAGTAGAAGCAAGTGGATCCATGATAACTGTTTCCAGTGCTTTGTCGTCGCACTGCAGCAATTTTGCGGTAGCTTCACACAGTCCGAAGAATGAGCGTCAAAATGCCGTTGTGATGAAATCGTTTGAAATTAGTCGAAGCGAACCAAACAGCCCCTCAAAGACTTCTGTTCCCGGTATAAGCAATTTTATGTGAAGAATCATATGTCTATTCTCTTGAAACTAGTTTTTTTTTTTTGTTTGTAATTAATAAAAAGATAGTTAGCTTTTGTTTAGTAAATTTGTTTAGATTACGACAGGTCAGAATTTGATACTGAGGCACCTGTGCGTCTTGCTAAACGGCTCTTTGTATTAGATGGTTTCAAAAGAGAAGATGTTGCAGCCCATTTATCGAAAACGTAATTTTTTGAAGTTCTGATTAGCTTGTGAGGATAAGAATTGTATTTTCATTGGCATAAATGAATGTCTATAAGCTTTTATTTAGATTTTGTGGTATATTTTCAATTTTTGACGCAGACTGCAACAGAAACTCAAAAACGTAAAACTACCAACATGAGCTGGTTTTTTACCGTTACACTTTTGATGAAGAATAAATCGCAGGTTGATATAAATGTACAATGACAAGGACGTGATACATTTTTCATTTACGATAAATTTAGGAATGAATTTGGTATATCCGTTGCCGAAGAATATTGTGCCTTGTTCAATTTCTCCGGCATTCGTTTGGATGCAGCACTACGTGACTTCCTTTCAAGATTTTGTCTTACGGGTGAAACTCAAGAAAGGACTCGTATCAGCGAACATTTCGCAAAGCGTTATTACGAATGCAATCCTACACTTTTCAGAAGCGCGGGTAAGTGTTATCGCTGGAGATCAATAGCTTACGAATCTTCATGTTGTTTTTCTTTTTTTTTCTTTTTTTTTGATAAGAACGACAGCTATTAGCAAGATATTTTATGGATACTGGATTTAACTGGTTATTCCACAAATAGAAGACAGTCATAGGATAAATTCGCTTTCTAGGGATAAGAATAGGAGTGCAAATGCTCTTAATATCATGTTCATTAATATTGAATTGTTCAAGATCTTGAATTTTTAGACCAGGTCCATGCACTTACTTGTGCCTTGCTGCTGCTGAATTCGGATTTACATGGTCCGGTATGAGATTATTTTAATTGTCACGTTGCCATCGAATTATTTTTTTTCTTAATGTTCATACAATTAACCAAGAAAACTGTAATTATATAGCATTTCAAACAAAATTGGTTTTATGTTTCTCAGTACTCAATATTCATTTCATTTCACACGTTCTGCATTTCAAACTTTTATTTCTACAGAATGTTGGGCGGCGGATGTCTAGTCGTGATTTCGTAGATAATCTAGGCTATACAGAACATGTTTTCGATTGCTCTTTGTTGAAGACTTTATATGTAGCCATCAAGGAACAACCTATCAAATGGGTTGGGTAAGTTCTATTTATTCATTAAGTGCAGGTGGCTTGAAATATTTGAAGAACCGTTGTTATTCTACTTTTTTTTAAAATACTGTTTGCAGTGAGTTGGAAGGGGCGTCACCTAATGATGTATCAGTGGTGGATGATATAAATTCACAATTTTATGAAAAAACGAAAAAAAAATACTATCAAAATCACGATCGACAGTGAGTGATGATGATCAGATTGAGTATAAAACTGGTTGGGTTGTGAGGAAATATGTTTTTGATAGAGATGGAAAGCGAAGTAAGTCAATCAATTTTTTTAAAGATGGAAATTAAAATTAGAGATGCAGTTTTCAAATTGATTTGTTGATGCTACTTTTAATGGAAAATTTTCTTTGGTGTTACTACGGCAACCATGTTTTAGCATTTGAAAGAAAAGCGGTAAATGTGGGGTATCTGATTTATTTGATATAGCTCCATTTGGTCGCCGCGGTTGGAAGATGGTTTATGCGCGACTTCGAGGGATGGTTCTTTACTTGCATAAAGATGAGAGCGGTTTCCGACGTGGCCGTTTCCAGACATTCAATAATGCCATCCTTCTGCATCATGCGCTGGCTGAAAAACCTGAAGATTACAACAAGCGGCAGCATGTGTTCAAACTGCGGACAGCTAATCTCGGTGAAACACTTTTTCAAACGAGGTGATTATTACTGCATAGTCACTACATATATTTCGCACTGAAAGATCATCAAGTGATACAATGAATCACATTCATTTTAATAAATATCATGAGCATGTTCTCGAGAATAAGTGAAGTATTCTAACCAAATATTATTAGCTGATTGAAAAATTCTTTGGAATCTAATCTATGTATTATATAAAACGAAGCTATGAGAAAAGATGGATTTTTCAGTGATCCAAGCGAAGTGCAGCAATGGATTGATACGATCAATTATGTTGCTGCAGCTTTCTCTTCGCCAGCATTACCAGCATCTGTTTCAAATCAGATTGAAGTTTTTCACAAACCTCTGTTACCTAGCGCGCCGTCAGGCCTATCAATAGTAAGTATTTTCTTAGACTAAAGCTGGAAGTGCATACAGCGCTGGATTGCATAGATTTACATTTCCAACTGGAAGTTTGGAGAAGTCATTGTGTCTCTTAACCATCCATTGCTTTTCAACTTTTCTTCACATTGTTCTTTCGTTTGAACGATTTGTTTTCTTATAGTCAAATGAGAATTAAAAAGTTGTCATAGCGATAAAAACATAAATCGAATGGCGTACTGCAGTCGTATATTTTGTACGTACATTCGTATACTTTGTTATAATCCATTTGTTTTCGTGACTACATTTGTAATAATTTTCAATGTAATCGATGGAGAGAATTGAAATTGATTGCAGGCGGAGCAGCTAAAAATACATGAAAAAAAAGAGGAAGAAATGAAGTTAAGACTTGAAGAGCTTATGAAAACAGCACCATCACTGAAAGCTAAAGGCCATATTGTGCAAGACTTTTTTTACAAAGAACGTTTTCTGTATCAAGAAGTAAGTTGTTTGTTTCATTTAATTACACCTCATGTGATATTGACTTAACATATCTACATGTTTCACTCTAAAAATTTCGTGAAGTCGGTTAATGGAATAGTTAGAAAGACTACTTGACTATGTCGACATTTAATTTTCCATCAGTATTAATCAATACATTCTAATTATCATTGCAGAAAGAACGTTACCAGCGTTATGTTGAAATTTTGCGTGAGAATCTTAGTGCACTTTCGCCGTCACATTCGACGGCAATACGTGTAGAGCCCGTTATAGGAACTTATCGACTGGGAGATACAGGGAAGTCATCTAGTTCTATCCAGAACAAAATGTTTGGTTATACAAGTGTAGTGAAAGAGGAGCCAGAGGCAGAAGCGAAGGCTGAAAAAGCTGAAGAGGAAGATTCCGATCTAGAATCCAATGATTCAGACAAAAGCGCAGGCCGTTGTAGTTACCAGGAAGCAATATTGCAAAATCCAGGTCCCCACTTGTTAATATCAAAATGAGATATTTTGATTTAAAGCTGAGGTGTTAGTACAATGTGGATTACTGTTGGATCATTGCGAAAATTTGCTTCTACATGGGTACTGAAATAGCCACTATTATTCGCCCATATTATGATAAAGTTGTTTTGAGGAATGTGTAAGGCAAAATGACCAACGTTGAAGTTATTAGGTTGCAAAAACAGTGCTTAAAATGCGTGAAAGACGACTGTTCGTAATACATGGAAGCAAACAAATGGCCTGTCTTTTGTTCTAGCCGGTTTAAGAGACCTGGCAGCCTTAACTCTCTCCTGAGAAAATAAAAGTGGGTACTTCTCTGTGTCTGAATACTTCGATCAATCCAAGTTTTGTAAGTTAGCTTACTTACACCCTTATAGTTAATGGTATTTCCTCTTTTGAGCTTGCTCTATCGACATAAATTCGCAAAGAAATTTGATTAAATTTTATTTAATTGGCTAGCTTATGATATCCATTTTACACTGCTGATACACCAGTAATCTTGTTTGAAGATGTAGGGGTTTTTATTGAAATGAAATCTGTAAGCTGATCTTGTAGAAGGATTTAATGTTTTGAATTCATGTTAAATTATGATTGACGTGAACATTTGGGGTAATCGAACAATTCTTTTTTGTTGCGAAAAGAGATCAAGTGACTGCAATGTTAAAATATGCATAAGCCTCATGTACATAACTTTTCGAACCTTAACTTTTTTACCAGACGTATAGCAAGAAATCCTTCAATCTTAAATACAAATTATTATATACATTTTAGAGCCTTTTGGTAATGAAGAAAGGTAAACTTTAAATGTTTATTTCCGGTGCTACTGCTATGAGTAAATAAATGTGTTTAATGAGTTAGTTTACCGCTTTGGATTTCCGTTTTTCGTTACTTTATAACTGTTACAAATCTATATTGAGGCGTTTTTTTTTTTTCTTTTTTCAATTCTAGCCATCTGGAAAATATGTTGGAAAAGATAACATACTGGGGAGCAAACACGAGCGCAATTATGAACAAAATGCAAAGATTTAATACACTGCAGTCACGTATCTCGTATTCAAGAGTTGCCAGCTAATGTTTGACAAGTTATGAATACACTGTTCTATTTTTTTCATGGCATCATTAAAATTGTTACAGTTCTTTCCCTGTCTTTAAATGTTTATTTCCGGTGCTACTGCTATGAGTAAATAAATGTGTTTAGTGAGTTAGTTTACCACTTTGGATTTCCGTTTTTCGTTACTTTATAACTGTTACAAATCTATATTGAGGCATTTTTTTTTTTCAAATTTATTCTTTTATTTAGTGTACAGTGCTGTTTTCTATCGTCATTCTGCTGAAGTAATTTATTTTTATATTAACTGTGTATTCCAATTTCAGTGGCGTTATTTGTAGCCGTGTTTGTCAGAACTTTTTACGTTACGTGGGCTTGACTTTTGTGAATTTTATTTTTTTATTGGCAGCTTCCTTTCTAAATGACATAGCATTATTTTGTGTGTGAAAATAAGTTTGCAGAACTGCGTCCACATTTAAAATTTTAAAATGTGAATCAAGGCTTACTGCTTTTAGTTGCGTAAGCTTTCCCAGCGCGGCCGTCAAACGGCAGGTGTAATGCTGGTGTCTTGCATAATCAACCACATAGATGCAGTCGAGCATAACAGAAGTAGTCAATATCCGAAAATTTATCAGATGATAGGCATAAATAAAATTTACTGAAGTGCATTTCGTTGTTTTTTCCTTCTTTCACATGGTAGCAACTGTGTATTTTTTGCACATTTCGTTGTAACTACAAGTATTAGAATCCTGTCGCTTGCGGTGTTCGTTTGAGTTTCATTACAACCGTGTAAAATCTTCAGCTTTTTTTTAATGAAATGATTCCTATGTTCAGTGCTTCTGTCAAACTATAATGATTTCATTTGTTCCTTAAATGAAAGCGAATCATTTTGAGCGGTTGAACATGCGACTAAACTTTGTTTGGGCGTTTGTGAACATGTTTGTTTCATTTTTAATTACTATCTCTTGCTATACGTTACTTCATAGCTGGCTGTTGGTGATACAGCTACGTAAATTCGTATTACTACTGCGTCATCACCATTTTCGTTATTTGATGCTGAACATTGTGGGGTAATTTAGATCTATAGAATATAATATTACAGCAATGTTAATTTCCCTATTCAAAACATGACTAGCTTTACTATTTGTCTTAACCCAGTGAATTGGCTTGAAAGGTCAAAACAGCTCGTTACTTTCACTGAACATATATATGTCTTGGAGTGGTGGCATTAATAAAATATTTACAGCAAACTTTTTAAAAAGATAAAAGGTATTTGGAAGTCCATTTCACTTTTTGTGACTGAAGTTTGATGGTAAGGGCATCTCTTGTAAACTTATTGGCAGTTTTAAAGTTAACTGCGTAATCGTGTGAACATGATCCAAATGTTAATATTTCGTCTTGCAACGTAATTAGCTATTCAGTAAGGCAATGTATACGCGTTTTTTTTTTTGCGATGTCGATTCTTTCAGTTAGCTAATGAGCAATTTATGTTTCATTTTGTCGATACAGCGTGGAAATTCGGTTTGTGCAATATTCATAACACAAATAATGGGTTTTTCTCAAATCTTCATTACTTTCATGATATTAACGTCCAATAAAAATGCTCCAGCAGTATCGTCTGGTCTGTCTGCATTAATTAGAGGTTTTTCAGCTTTCAAGCCCATCTAACGTAACATGTATGAAATCCAGCAGTCTATTTACTGATATGACGCTTAAAACTATCTTGAAACAGTCTGTCTCAGGATAAGATCTATTAAATATTCGAACGCGAATTTCGAACCGTTAGACTCGATCTTGATTTCTTCAAATGAAGGAAAAAGATGAGATAATCAATGCTGAGAGTTGGATCATAAATATCCATATTTTAAGAGCAGTTGCTTTGAATAGGACTAGGCAGGAATATATGGTCACACAGTCACGGTGTAACGATAAACTTTTAGAGATGTAGAAGTCATGGTAGTAAAGCTTCAGCATGTAACGGGTATGATGTAATCAGTTAAATCACTTCTGCGGTTGACAGACATAAGTACGTATGGTAGGAGGAGCAGACTGCACACTAAATTCGTGGATGTTTTCATTTGGGAGGAGGATATATACTTTACGATTTATTGAACCTATGTGTTAGTAGATATTTGCAGAATTTTCCTGGCGTCTCTTGTGACTGATTTATGAGATTTGGATACTGACGAGCAACATATGACTTACCGAGACTTAAGCGCAGATTGTCACTTTCAATTAGCGTTTCACTAGGGAGGTTTTCCTTTTACCGGCTGTTCATTTCGACTTCCTAATTAGGAGACCGGACCATCTTCTTGCAATCATTAAGTAAGGTTCAAATTCAACATAAACTCTTGAGAACTTAGAGTGCAGTCTTTAGGAACTATGCACATTTTTCACAAGAATAACTGGGTGATGTGATGCCAAGATGTATGACTGTACGAGAGAAGTGGAGACGGTCGAATGATACGGGAAAATTATAAAATAAAGTATGCCTCAGATTATTTGGTTATTTGAGAACTGCTGATTGAGGGTTTGCTCTTTAAAATGAAGTTATTGGATCCTGACAAAGGCAAACGACCAAGTATAAAGCGGATAAAATTCTGTTTGGTGATTGCTATGTGGTCACATGATATACTTAAATTTGAGCTACGTGAACTTCCCGCTTGTGATATCAAAAAAGCCTGTTTGGGATGCAACCAGCTGTGTAAGAGCAGTCATTACCACTAGCTGATGTACAACTTTTTAACTCTTTTGCGTGTATTAACTTAAAATAGTCTTCGTGCTCATTTCTCGTGTATGTTTCTTGGGTGAGAGTTAGAGTTTTTGCTAATAAACATTTGTTAGGAGACGCTAGCGTTAAAAAGACGAATTAATAGTGGCTTTATTCGTGTCATCCTATAATCTTTAAATAATGCATTGGGTAGACTTCAAGTTGTGGTTTATCGCCCGCTTTTGGTTCACGGCTCGTTCGTGAAGTAGCTCATTTTACGACAGCAACGATGAATGCCAACGCACAGGATCAACAAAATTTGGAAGGAACGAAAAAAACCGAACAAGAAGGTAGCTATTTTCTAGTCTAGAGTTATTTGAAAACAGTGATATAACTTTTGCAAATATGTTTTTCGTTAAGAATACCATAGCAAGCCATAAAGCTTATATACAGTGGTGTCCATCATTCAGTTACCATTTGAGGACGCGTTACACTGAACTTCAACTAGTCTTGGGGGTGAATTTGTGAAGATACCTCTTGCAGCATAACTAAAGTGCAGCCCTAACTTATTGCATTCTTTCTTTTTTCCTAATACATGTTGTCTTGTAACAGTGCAAAAAATCCTGAACTATTGCTATCCAACAGATTCTGTTAAAAAAATCATTAGTATCTTTGATGCGAGGAATGTCATCACTTCACCGTCATCACCTCCTGTCATCACTGTTATCATTTACCATTCAGTTTGCTAGAAGTTCTCAATATAACATGTAATTGAGATAACCGGGGTGCTGGAAAACTCTATTACCATACCACTGCTTCCAAAATTACGGCGAACAAAGGAAAGGCGGCGGTATAGGGGAGAGGATGAGTTACGAGTATTTGTGGTAGGGTTTATCCGATGTTTGGTTTAAAATGGTAACACTACTTGAAATTTGGTACAAGTAATTACTAATCGTTTATCGAAATTTGTAAGTAAAAGTATGGTGTTCAGTATGTATATTGCTCGTACTAGTTTGCAAAATTGCTAGTGTTTTGTCCATTCTCGGAAAGCAGTTCAGTATTTTATTCATGGTTATTGCTTATGCTGACAATTACAATTTTCTACCCACTTCTAATTTCGGGTCTCCGCATTGCTACGCGTAATGTCCATTATTGCAGAAAAAATCAAGATTGAGCAGCAAACACACTGTTTGTGCGGAAGTAGTGATGAGTCGTCATTTATGATATGTTGCGATCATTGCGGTGTTTGGTATCATGGAGCATGCCTGCAGGTAATTCTCCCAACTTTTTGTTTAATTGATTATAAAAGAATCTATTCTGTGTAGTAAAGGGCGGATACAATTTCTAATGGGAAACATTTGCATTTTTTCTCTCAATATGGTTGCATTATTTTTATAAACTTTATCTACATGAATCGGGAAATACAATGGATAATGAATAACCGCTAAATCACTTCATGAATATGTCAAGGTAATTTAGCATTTCACTTCGCTGCCACCATATTAGCTCAAAATTTCCATAACTTAACGCATCCCATTTAAATTTACCATCATATATTTATATTTAAGGTTACTCGAACCCAGGCAAATCGTATCGAGACGTATGCGTGCCCTCCTTGCATTAGCAAAGACAGCAGTTTAAAAATCGTGTACCGCGCCTCGGTGAGTTTCTTCGGTATCTTTCAAATGATTAATTCACGGATAAGATTGTTTTTAAATGATTAATTAATGGATAAGATTGTTTCTTTCAAATGATTAATTCACGGATAAGATTGTTCCATATTTTCTTGTATCAAATAATGGTAATGGTGTTTTTTCTGTTTAAATGTTTTTCATTTGTTTCCCAGAAGAGGGAACGAGAAAAGAGTGTCCATCGCGAGAAGCAGTGCAAGTCAAAAGGAGCTAGAACCGATATCAAAACTCAAAGCGGATTAAGACGTTCTTCGAAAGATGACCATGGTTTGAATGTCGGCAATCATGTAGATCGATTTTTTAGTGTAAAGACAGCATGATTAATCAGGATCAGTTTAAGAAACTTTGCGTACACTGTTTCTAATTATATAGAAAGTATGTTGATATTGATTGCGTGAAAATATTGTAGAAGAAAACAAGCTTGGGGAAGGTTGCAACAATTGCATCAACTGTTTTCGATCAACAGACTGTGGTAAATGTGCAAATTGTAATACTCCTGTGGAACCGTGCTTAAAGCGCATTTGTTTGCAGTCGGAATGGTGGAATAAACACAAAAAAAGCAGCAACAGTTTAAAGTTACTGGCAGAGAGGAAGGTGTTTATTAATTAATTTTGCATATGTTTCAAGTTTTACTGTAGATGCGGACGTTCTCGTTTACTTTATTTTTTTAATGTCAAAATTTATTAGGCAAATCGTTGAAACCTTCTTTCTACAGCCTGTAAGATTCGAAAATACATGAAATTTTAATTGATATTTCTATTCAAGTTTCTCTGAGTCGTCTTATTGTCATAACTTGATGCATTTTCAATCATTTTATAGTCAAGTAATCTTTTATGGGACACAGAGCAAAGATCTCTTAAGCAACCTTAATAAGAGAGGAAATACGGCGATCTGCTTTTACTAATTAAATTTAGTGATGGAACAAAACAAAGCATTACTTTCAGCAGTTCAGTCGAGCGTGCACTCAGCAAGAAGCAAAAAAGAACGAATGAAGTATGCTTAGTAAGTCGTTGCATTAGTTTCTTATAAGTTGTTTGCTAGTCGTATTTTTCATTGAGTGTTGAAGTAGTAGTTTTTCAGTACAACAGATGATGACGATGATGATAATACGAGAGCTTTTAAACGAGGTGGTTCGACACATTCAGGCTCTGCTGCAAGCGTTGCCAAAAAACGCCAGAGAAAAGTAGCAAGAAAAAAGAAAACCGTAGCCTATCAGGTTATTACTAACTTTAGGGAGGTGGACTAGTGTTGCATGTTCAAGTTCTATTTGTTTATTATCAGCTTTTTCTATATATAAAACGAAGAAAAAACCTAACGTCCTGATTTTTATTGTATGAGAAGCTACATATTTCCTTGTAGACGTTGATTTGGTCATTTGTAATCCAACATTTTTTAGGTGGTTTTGTTTTACAATTCAGACTTCCATCCTTAAATATGAAAGTATCCTCGTTAATTTTCATAGTCATAGCATCATACAATAGTCTGATCCACAGAATGACGGGATCGTAATTTTTTTAATGTTTTTAGAAACGTCAGACAAATGCAGCAGCAGGAAGAGCAAAGAAGTCGAAAACCAGCGACTTTTTGTTTACAGCAGGTATGGAGATAAATCATTCATAACAGTGAGGTTCTTAAGCAGTCAGCTTTTATCTTCACATTTATACTGGGAAATCAAACGTGATCACCGTTCGTTATTCTTCACTTTGCGTTTGCATTTTATTTTGTATCTGTGCATTATCAGAAAAATTTATATTTGGAAAAGATGGACTTATTAAAGTAAGTGTACTCTTGTTAATGACAGAAGTTACTCATGCTAACTATTATGCAAAGTAGTTAGTAGTAATAACGGGTGAATACTTCCCTTTTTTCGAGCAATAAGGTAAAAAGAAAAATATAGTGCTTTTACAGCTTGAAAAGTGTGGTCCCGTGTAAAAAAATGTGTTTTGAGGCTTCCTAAAGATATCATTTTTCTTACCTTGTTGTGTGTTGCAGAACAACGCCAAAAAATTGCATCGGCCATTTATAATCGTCGCTCACATCGTCATAACCCTAATAAGGTTTGAAGTCTAATATAGATATGTCTTTCTGAAGTTATGACTTCTTTAACACTTGTAAGTAGTCTTTGGTATTCATTAGTACTCTTTTAATTCCCTGTATAATTCGCAGAGATTGCTTTACTTATTCGATAATTGTTGAAATTCAGTAATTGCATTGGTTAAGTGTCTTAAATGGCATTGTTATTAAGGCTTCACTACTGAGTTTATTTTTGATAGATATTTACTTGTTCAAAATTTTCAAGTATGTTGCTAACATAATTTTTAGGTGAATGATCTTTGTAGGAAAAATCAAAGCATTGTGAGGGGCCCCAGTGCACGAATTCCACACGTCCGCAGTCGAAATTCTGTTGCGAAGAATGCGGAATGAATTTGGCACGTGTATGTTATTTCAACTTTAATCAGCAGTTCATAAAGTGAATATGGTCGGTGTTTTCAGTAATCTTAGCGTTATTTAAGGAATGTAGTTATTTACTGGATGATTTCGAGTTGTTTAAAATATCTGGTAAATCACTTGTGACAAATATTTCCCAGGTTCTGCTGAGATACCTATTACAAAATTGCCGAGGTTTTTCAGGATCGTTTGCGTGCCATCTTGCCGGACCGTGTTCATTCATTTTGGAATAATATGTCGTATTCTGTGGAACAGTCGCAACATTTACGCGATGCTGCTGAGGAGCAAATTCAATTTTTCACGGTATTATATCGCTTTAAGTAATTGAAATAACTTGCACTTTGCTGAAAGTTACTTCAGCAGGCTTTTAACGCAGAAAGTTTCCAGTGATTCAGGGAATTTCATGACTAACAGTTTTACGTGGTTCGAGTGGCCACACTTGGTTTTTATATGGTTCCATATTGCCTTCCTTTGCTTTTGTGAATCTCACTTAATTTTTCATTAAGATGAAATCTAGGATACGAAAGTGACAGTTTAAGACAGCTTAAGAAATTGATAGATGCAATTTGCAGCACCATTGTTCGCTTCTAGACGGATTGTGGGTGTTTAGTTTTCTTTAATTGAAATAGTCTCTTGAATAAATCTACCACTCTAATAAATAACACACAATGACGATATGTTTGCTGCATACTTCTACATTTTAAATTTGTCTCCTATTCCAAATTTTTGATTATGATATCCTTGCTGTTGACTTATGCCACTTTCAGGGATTGACAGTTTCTTTTTTGGCATTTGGGTTAAAGTCTTTTCGCGAAATCTTTTATGATGAAAGATTTCTTCTTAAGCTAAGCATCATATCATTCATATGGGCGTCGTTTTTCAATTGAATTTCTCACAGCAACCCAAATATAGAATAGGGAACTGTTCCTTCTGTTCTCTCTATTGGTTTTTTTTTTTTTTTTCTGTAGTCTGCTTGAAATATACTTTTACCAATTTATTATTTATTCTGACTTTTCTTGAGCTGCAGGTACTTGACTGCGACTAATTTGCTCGTTACTTCAATATTTTCAGCATAAAGCACCATTGTCCTTATTTTTTCAATTGTAATAAAATCGCATTTTGCTTTTGTATTCTTAACACAATGAATATTTCTTATGCGCTTAATACAGAGTTGCAGCTCCTTTATTTATTCCATTCTGTTGTGAGCTGGAATTCTAGGCACTTATCACATGAATGTTCTTTCTAATAGATTGAGCGCGATCATCCTAAGCACTTTGTCTCTGTTGGATATTGTTATTAAGGCTGATAATTCGTCGAAATCTCGGATACCTTCGATTCTACATGCTCTGTAACTTGTTTTTTCACCGATCAAGTTTAATTGTCTTCTCGGACTATTTCTTTCACTTTACTGCGTAGTTCTTATGTGGATCAACTTTCCACTGAAAAAATTCCTCTTCATCCACAGTTTGCCAATGCATCTACTTGCATATGATTTGTGAGACGGTGAAACTAGTCGGAAAAAATAGCAGATATATTGTAGTAGTCAATTTTTTCTGAAGATCGAAATGTTGTAGAGATATTTCGCCATACTTTATTGTCTTAGCTAAACTGTCCAATTCTTGGCCTACGATACACAAGTTCGAATTCCTAAAAAATCTCTTGAAGCGTGCTAACATTCTTTTCCAAATTTTTTAAAAATATGCCTTAATTGCTCATAGGTTTCATTGTTTTCCTTGCAGAATAAGGTGCGCAAATTCGCAGATTTTCAGGACGAACTGCAAAAATGGATTTTGGTATGTCATGTATTATATTGCATTTCAAGCAAATATGGTCATACAGACTGTTTTTACACCCAAAAAATGGACTGGTCATTAAGTCTTTTGTATGAAGTTTTTCATGGTCAACTGAAGGATCTTTTTTCAATAAATTATATTCATGAAGTTTGTTTACGGGAACTCATTTGAAATATTTGTGTTATGACGCAGGCTATTTTGCTCATCCATGTTGATCCATTCTTTTTTATCCCCAAACTGTTTGTTTATTATTCAAATCTTATTTAGGCTACTGAAAAGATCGAATGTGAGAATAAAACAGCCATCAGTAACTCATCAGACATGGATTTCGTAAGTAACTGATTTTTCATTTTGATCTTTTCTGCATTTTTTGATTGGAATTCCAACGGAAACGTTACTAAAGTTGACGTAGACTTTTAATGTACTTTTAATATGTACTTTTAAAAGTATATACTTTTAAAATATGGTAGTTAAGATGCTACACTGTGCTGTATGCGCTTTGGAATTTCCAGCCAAACTCATTGTGAAACATATGGAGCGCTGCTTTGTGCGCAATGAGAAACAGAGTTGCTATGGCACGCCGAATAAAGTTTGTTTCTTTCAAGGTCACATAAAACTCGGAGTTAAGGTACTGCGTGTACTGTGAGCAACGTTCAGTAAAAAGATTTACCAAACACATTTGCTGTGTGCATGAATTTTGTGTGAAGATTCTTCGCAATAATCAATAATTTGTTCAGTTCGTTTCTTTCAAAACTGGCGGGAGTGCTGTAACTAAGTTCCCTTAATTTTAAATTTGTTTTAGTCACAAGTCAATCCGTACAATATTTTCTGCGAGCAGTTCAATAAGGCCAATAATACGTTTTGCAAGCGTCTTCGTGTATTATGTAGTGAACATTACAAATCTACAGAAAATGCTACAAAGGTATAATGATATTAACCCATACGAATATATTTGTTGCTGCGGAAATTTAACCATGCCTTTCTTTTCGTCCATATTTGTTCGGAGTATTGTTTTTAACATATCTAAAGGTGCTAGCAATTTACAGATGAAATTTTTCTGTAAAAAATGGGTCTGCTTAGCTTTTGAGTCAGATTTTTTGTGGTAGCTAGTTTTATCGAGAGCAGTTTTATTTTTTGATTGTCCTGGAACTGGTATTGCTAGTTGTCCAAAAATGAATCGAAATCATATTATAGGTCTGTGGTTATCCTTTTGCATGGAACAAAAATGAATTTCGACCTGTTATCAAAACATTTGACGACATGCAAACACTGCTTCAGAAAGGCTTTTGTCATTGCCTAAGAAAGAACTGCCTTCAACATCATAACTGGGTCCAGGTCTGTATGAGACGTTTCTTAAACTTCCTACTTTCCATTCCTAAACCCGAAATAACCAGATTTAGAATGCAATGGGTTTGATCGACGTGGAGCTGCTTAATCTTTTGATCAAACTGGATGAGTGGTTCGAGAAAAAACGCACACTTCAAGTCTCAGAAACCATGCGTGGTGATGTGCTCTCACTTTTCTGCGATAAAACAGTTCGTTGCAACACACCATTGAATGAAGATAGTTCCATCCCGATAGAGATAGTTCCATGTGCGCCAGGTAATTCCGACCCGGCTGATCACCTGAAATGCCGAAATACAGAGCAGTCTATGAATGCAACTATATTGCATGCGGAAACAACAAGTTACGTTGGTTGCAGTCGTGTTTGCGAAGATAATGAGCAGGTATACTTAAAAAAAATTACCTGCAGAACGATTGTTTGGCATTAAAGAGAAAACGGATGGATCATGTATGATCATAATGAAGCACAGAACGTGTCAACTAAATTTATAATTTACTTGAAAAATCATTGATCCTTAAATATGCATATTTATTTCATTACTCATTGGGAATGCTGTTGTACGCGTCTAATGAATTGGTAAAATATGTGTATTTTTTAGATATCATGGAATACTGATTTGCAATCTTGAATTGTTAGCTGAATATTATTTGTTCGACAGTTACTCAAGAATCTCAGTGAGAAACTCATTTCCAGACCTCATGCGTGTTTTCATTAAAATTTTTGTATTTTTTGCTCGTTGACGGATATTTATTTGGTGTGTCTCTTTGCTATTG